TGTCAATGTTGGGGTGCTTCAGTGTTAGGGTGCTGTGTCAATGTTAGGGTGCTGGTGTTAGGGTGCTGTGTGTGTGTTAGGGTGTTGTGTGAGTGCTACGGTGCTGTGTGTGTGTTAGGGTGATGTGTCAATGTTAGGGTGATGTGTCAATGTTAGGGTGATGTGTCAATGTTAGGGTGATGTGTCAATGTTAGGGTGATGTGTCAATGTTGGGGTGCTGTGTGTGTGTTGGGGTGCTGTGTGTGTGTTGGGGTGCTGTGTGTGTTAGGGTTCTGTGTCAATGTTAGGGTGCTGGGTGTGTGTTAGGGTGCTGGGTGTGTGTTAGGGTGCTGTGTCAATGTTAGGGTGCTGTGTGTGTGTTAGGTTGCTGTGTCAATGTTAGGGTGCTGGTGTTAGGGTGCTGTGTGTGTGTTAGGTTGCTGTGTCAATGTTAGGGTGCTGGTGTTAGGGTGCTGTGTATGTGTTAGGGTGCTGGGTGAGGGTGATGTGTGTGTTTGCCAGGATTTTGTATTGGGGGAGGCAGGTAAATGGCACTATTAATGTTTTACTAAAAAATAAAAATAAATACGTAATAATAAATAATAAAAATAAATACATAATAAATAATAAAAATAAATACATACTAATAAATACTAATAATAAATAATAAAAATACATACTAATAAATACTAATAATAAATAATACAAATAAATAATAAAAATAAATACATACTAAATACTAATAATAAAAATAAATACATACTAATAAATTCTAATAATAAATACTAATAATAAATAATAAAAATACATAATAATAAATACTAATAATAAATAATAAAAATACATACTAATAAATAATAAATACATTATATCCCCCCCCCCTCTATTCTTACCTGTAGTCTGGAAGGGGGGGGGGTGGGGGGATCGTGCTGCAGCCAGCCATCCCTGGTGGTCCTCGTGGTTAGTGAACTCTAGCCCTTTGGGGCTAGAGTTCACTCTCGCGAGACCCGGCCGGTTGCCATAGCAACGGTCCGGATCTCGCGAGAGAAACCCGGCGGAGCTGCAAATTAGAGCTCCGCCGGGTCCTCTCTCCTGGCGGCTGGCTCCCCCCCTCTCTCCCCGCCGGCGGCCGCGTTTGAGTGCATGTGGGCCGGTGAGGGAGATCTTTGATCTCCCCACCGGCCCTCCATGGAAGACAGCGGGGCCGGCGCTCGGATAGCGCCGGCCCTGCATAGACCGACAGGGGAGATCCTGTGATCTCCCCTGCCGGCCTCGGCCCATGGCCACCGTGGCCCACCGGGCATTTGCCCGGTGTGCCCGATGGCCAGTCCGGGCCTGATGGCGGGTGTTCTATGCCGTCCTTATGTGGGCGGTTCTAAACGCTGCAAGGCGGCATAGAATGACCCCGCAATCCAGGGGCCTTATCCAGTCCCCACACTGGCAGTCGTGATTCTGGAGACTGCTTGAGAGTCCAGGCAGTCCCCCCTGGATCCTTGCGATCACATGGCTGGAAAAGCTGGCTTGTGCAGTGACGTTATAAATATATATATATATATATGTATGTGTGTGTGTGTATATATATATGTAACGGCACCCTCAGCATAAAAGGGTTAAACCGCCGTTTAGAAGATCTTCCCCTTTCAGAGACACAGGCACAGCTACTATAGACACAAATCCACCGAACTAGAGAAGCATATGAATGCCGTAAACAGCCGAATAGGAAAAACCATACGAATAGGTTTACACTCCTAGCAGTGGAACTGGAACAGCATACAATAAATCCCCCCCAAGAACGAGACAAAGCACGGTGTTGAGGGCCAAGCAGTGAACCGACAGAGCTGTGGGTTTATTGTTCTTATATACACATTAGTACCACCCACAGGGTTTTGGAACACAACCAATAAACACATACAATACACTCAGACACTCCCACGCAAAATCCTCCCCTATGCCTGTGATACAATTACCTTACACAATGGGTAATGTAATTATCACAAGCAGAGAAATTAAATTTTTCCACATTATTCATAACTTGAAAAGTATGCATCACATTCACTTACATTTTCAGAATCAGCATACTCCAAATACAAACATATGTCAATATCATCTAAATTGGTCCAGTGGTTCAAAAGATAGATCGTAGTCCTTTGTGACAAAAGGAAGCATGGCTTTTCTGCCCAAAACCAGTTCCACAGAGTCTTCTATCCTGGAGATAATTGGGAAGTTATCCAATTATCTCCAAGGACAGAGGCAAAACTATTGAACACATGGCAGCAAAAGACAATAAAACACATAAAAACATATAACTGTGCAGCCATTGCACAAAGCAGGTACATTCAACATATCCCCAGATAGCTCAGATCTGAGCGCTCATTATTACTGAATGGCACTCAGAGCACACACACAGTTCAATTGCCATGGAGCCAAAGTCTTTCCCATAATCTTTCATAATACGAATGGACACCATGGCATAGCTATCTGGGGTATCATCGGTCAAACAGGGCAAGCACTGAATGACCCGGCTTTCGTGTCTTCACAGGGGAAAATCACGCGTTTCAACATGGGGCCATAGTCTAAAGGCAACAGGCGAGCAACCAGGCTTCTCCAATGCAATGTGGCGAGATTGGTCTCGTCACAATATATATATATATATATATATATATACATATATATATATATTTGTGCTCGGAATTTATCCAATACGTAATGGAATGTAGAAGGAGAAGCAAAGTTGGTTGAGGTGTGCCGAAACCAACGTACGAGTAGGCCTGTAAAAGAGGGCCCACAAAGGTGAATTGTTAATATAGATGGGTGTAGGTGGGTGGGGACAAACAGCTTGCACGACAAAGGTAAGTAGGGTTTATATAGGATCATAACTCCTCCCACAAATTCAGGCCAAATGGCCTTCCAACTTGTGCTCGGAATTTATCTAATACGTAATGGAATGTAGAAGGAGAAGCAGCATAGGAGGTTTAAGTAAGATGCTTGATTTGTAGGTGTGGAGAAAGAGGCAAAAAATAACCATATTTAACTGCAAAAGCCTTGAACCAAGCAAACTCTAACTGTGACATGTACAATATACAAGGCCCTGGCGTGAGTGAAAGAGTAGTTGTGAAACTGCGTGAAGCGTGCGCACCTGTATGTGGTGTAATTGTGTGCTTAGTCCAAGATCAGCTCATGGAATGGTGGTATCCTGGATGGTATGTAGTGGGTCGTAGGGAGTGCCTGAAAGAAGACCTTAAATTGAGAGCGTGCAAAAGTGTCAGTGGCTGTGTAGTGGATACCAGGAATGTAAATGTAGACTTGGAAGAACTGAGTGGTGCTACCTGCCAAATCAGCCCACGAATCAGCCACATTGGCGGCGGGTATGACTGCCCTAGCTAATGAAATCATAGGCCGAGGAGTTGTCAGAGCAGAATTTAACTGCCTTGCCGGTCCAAAGATGACCCCATGTGAGTAAGGCCACCACGAAAGGTTAGATCTCCAACAAAGTAGAGGTCTCTCTAAAGGCCGGCAAGGCATCCGTCTCAGTGGGCCAGGCATCCCTACGCGTGATTGCCGAAAAAAAGCTGCGAACCCTGTGTGTGCTGCTGCGTCTGTGTGAATTGAAAGTGAGTGTTTTGAAGGTGGGGGAATGAACAAAGAGATCCCAATCCATGCGGCTGAAAACTACTACAATTGTGTAAAACTGCACTGGCTGGATCGCTCGAATGGTTGGTCAGGGGTCGGTACCTCGAGGAGCAAATTTAAGTAGCCCAGAGACAAAAGACAAACCCTGCGGAATGATACGCACAACAAAATTGAGGGACCTAAACCAGGACTGAAGCCCCCTCCTATTGCGCGCAACACTCCGCAGGAGCAGGACAAATACGTTCCTAATGCGGGACAGATCACCTGTGTAACAGAACTATGCTTTTGCCTATGCTTTTTGCCTGGACTTATATATCAATGCCGCTGGATGTATTACAAAAACCGAATGACTATTTCGTGGAAATATCCTTACCGGAGAATACAGCTCAAAATACCGAACATCGGACCACCCAGGGGAACAGTTAAGTGGTATTTTACCTCCCAGCGCTTTTGGAGCCGTTCGCATGGTTTCACACGAATTCCTTTGTGCTCAGGTTAGATGGCCGCCATTTCGGGACTCTACACGTGTTTGCAGCGAACAGCGGTGTTTGCCCGTGAATGCATGGAACTAAAATCGGATACGCAAACAGGCGAACACCGCTGAGACCTCCAGGAGCTTGTAATTTCGTGCTGGAACTACCGAACAACTGGCCGTATGGTAGCTTTGCTTAAGCTCACATAGGGATTCCAGCGAACACCAGGATGACTGTGGATGGCAAGGGGTTCGTGGGGTTTTAAGTCGGTCAAAACTTCAAAGATCCATAACTCCCGAACCCCTCAACCGAATGGGCTGAAATTTGGACATGTTGTTCCCCTGAGTGCGTGTTTAAAGGTGTACCCCCTGTTTTTGGGGTACATCCAGAATGTGGGTAAAATTGTGTCTGTTTTAATTATGTTATATGTTTATCTGAGGGGAGGAGACGTGGGGGTTGTACCATGTATCTGATTGGCTGTTGTGTTAATTATGTGGGTGTAGCCTTTCAGAGGGCACCATTGCATAAAAGGAGACCCCTGTCAATAAACATCCGTTCTACTTGACCCTTCAAAACGTAGCCTCGTCTCGTTCTTGGAGGGGATTTATAGTACCGTTACTCTGCCTCATTTTACAGCAATGCCGGATTATACACTTGGATATCGTGGATGGGAATAAGAACTCCATTACTTTACAACAGCTTGCCTAGAAAAGGACGTCGCCAACGGCAGATACCCCTTTCCAGCTGGGTAGCCGTTACAACCTGGTAGGCTGCCTCAGAAAGCGAGCCTGGGAGAGGGACCCTGGTAGCAGAGGGACCCCGAGTGTGGTGAAAAAAGGGGGGGAGGGGGTTCCGGTGGTGTGAATACTGTTAGATGTTTGTGAACCTGTTAAATCAACAAAAATTCACCCAGATAGTGATGACTGATGGACACCTGAATCTCTTTAGGAGCGGCCAGCAGAGGGTTTCTGCAGAGGGCGGTGCGGAAGAGGTCTATGATCAAACGTATTTTGGGTATTGTGAATGGCTACCCCGATGGGAGTGGTACACCAAGACGAGAAACGTGAAGACCGGAAAGGGCCGATCGTGAAACCAGCATATGATTGCTGTGGACAGAAGGTGGTCTACCGTAAGTGGGTCTATAGATGTAGATAATAGGTTAGGGCATACGAGTGTACCTGTGGGGTTGGCGAAAACGTGTGAAACTCCTGTGAAAAACCCGGCATCAGAATCTACCATATGCCCAGTTGGGTGTAAATGGTGTCAATGTTAACCTAGTTAAGCGTATCTTAGGTGACAGTTGGGCTGTATATGTGGACTAGGTGTAGGTTCTGGAGCAGATGAAGCAGATGTGTGATTCCCTGCATATAGTGAAAATAGCATACCCCAGCATTAAAGCCGTAGCGCCCAAGCCTTTCCCGGAAATGAATGGTCAGTCCCGCTTGGACTTTTGCCCGCCTCCCAGTCTAGTGCGTGAAGGAGTGGTGAGAGGGACTAAACAGTTAAATATGTCAAATGCAAAGTGATAGGTACAAGGTTCTCGGGTGTGTGCCGAGAGAGGGAAAAGACTTGCGTGGGCCTAACGAGGCCATGCGTAATATTAGGAATGTAGTATGAAAGGTTGTATTTCTTTAACCCTCGTATATTAGAAATTTGACATATGTAATTGCCCAAATGTGGCGCCTAAATTGACGTATGTAACTGCTCTAATGAGGGGACGCAATTGCCATAGTGACGGTAGAGGGCCATGTGTAAACGTATGGAGTGAAGGCTTCATGAGGGTCATGTGTAGAGGTATTGTAGTGGAAGGCAAAGTGCTTAATGCTAGTCCTGAGTTGCTGGATGGAGAAATAGGGCTGTATGAGGGGTATGGAACGAAGAAAGAAGGGAATGAACAAAGAAGGGGTGAGAGATTCCTTCGGAGACCTAGGCCTGACTGGCTTGCTGGGTATTTCGTCCAACAGTAGACCGATTATTGGCATGGATTCTTGTGACATCTGAAAAGAAATAATAATTTGGATAAGTAATGTGTCGTAGAGGTGGAGTTGAGACCTTCCGAGAATTGGCCTGCTAGCTAGTGCCGAGGCGAAGAATTAACCTAGGACCAAGTGACAGGTGAGGCCCTGCTAGTGCCAAGTGGCGGAGAGAGGCTCTACCTGTGATTTGGGCCGAGGGAATTTTGTGGCCACCTGAACGTGGTGGCAGGATGTTGGCCTCTCGGTGACCGTAAGAGATTCAAAAACGTGTGGCTGTGACTTGGGAAGCCCTAGCTGTAGCCCAAAAGAAGGGCGAGCGAGGTAGCTAACTATGATTTGGTAGTGGGGCTGAACCTCCGTGTATGAAGTGGAGTTATAGACTTTGCGGGACCATAGAATTACTTAGGATAGCTAAGGCCAGCGCCTAACCCTCAATGCTAGTTCACTATCCTGATGGGGCTTGTCTCTTAGCATGGTGTAATTGACGTATGTATATACTTAACCTTGAGTATTGTCCTATTTCTTTGGTCAAAGCGCAGGTGGATTTTGATGTATTCTTGCTTCCGCAAGGAATGGGCCCAGTGAAGATATCCTAAGGGTAATATAGATGCTAGAGGGCCTGAGGCGTGCCTATGGTATGCCAATTGTAAAAATGTCAAACGTATGGGTAAAGCGTAATAATGAAATGTAACGTATGAACCCGTGTATGAAGAGGGACCTGAACGAAGGTCTGTAAGTAGAGACAAGCTCCCGGGGTTCCCACGATTGTGACGTTTACATGATACGAAGGCGAAGTGAGGCCTTCAGGAGAAATGTAATCGTAGTGAGTAAGATTTACAATACCTGAAACTGAAATGCAGGGTACCAGGTAGTCTTGTTGGTGGTTGATGCCGTGTAACTTGGCGAAAGTGCGGTAATGACACAGGTCTGAGTGAAGAAATGTAGAAACAATAGACAAAAAATGTACCGTTAAATAAGTAGTAGCATGGTGGTGTAGGTTTGTGTGATTGATGTTCTAATCGTAGTGAGGAATCTCAGACCTGGCCTGTTTGAAGTTTAGAACCCACTTTGGGAGGTGGGGTGTCTGAATGAAGCCGTGGAGGCTGAATGAGGCCTCGAGGGAAAAAGAGAATTGGTAAACCTTTTTACCTGATACAGAAATACAGGATACTGGCATACCACTTCTTGAACACTGTTTAGAGGAAAGTAATAGAACCCAAAAACATATGCAGTCTAAGTGTAAGGAACTGGTATATAAGGTCTTTAAGGAACGGAGGTTTCAAAGAACGTGTTAATGCTCTGAATGAGGACCGTAGACGAGTTAGTTGTGTAGATGATTAAAACATTAGTGAAGGTGCAATAGACTAAGTCCCTGCAGGATTAGATAATGCCTGGAGGTGTATTTAAAACGTATTATAAAGAGAAAAAGTCAAACTGTGCTTTTAAGGAGATTACCCTGGGAAATATTGGTGTCCCATAATTATGTGATCATGGACGGGAATTAGTGAAAACACATTATTTAACCAGTGGTGACTTTAAGAGCCATATATTAAAAACATAACATCATATCGGATAAAATAATGTGAGCTTAGTTTAAGTAAAATGACATGATTAGATATATTTACAGTAGCTCTGAGAATTTCAACCCTGTAGCTTCTTGCGTTCGTTTAAACGTATGAGCAAGAGTAATGTAAAATAGAAAGAGTTCCTGCGTTCGGTGAAAAGGAGCATACGAAAGATTTAAACGAAAGCCAATTGTATAGTCAGCTGTAGACAGTATAAGTGGAGATTAACGAAAGGTTGCACGAAAAGCCGATTGAACGTGTTCGGCTGTACGAACGTACTAAAGAACACACGAACACAGGGTAAGTATGTGCGGTCGGCAAAATTAGTTTAACGAAAGTAAAACGAAGGCGTGTGTACTCCACATTCGGCTGTTAGCCGCACGAACGCGGAAGTACACGAACAGTGTAATAGCACGAATAGGTAGTAATGAAGGGAGCCTATCCCCGCGTTTTTAGGCCCTGAACGTGGGAAATAGCCGAACGCTATTTCCCATGTTAAGCTTACATGGACATGCCGGTCTCGTGACTGGAAGCCGGGTAGCGAGTCGCAAAGACGGGTAGAAGCCGGTGGACGGGCACGGAAGACGGAAGGCAGGAGCTGCTGGCAACGGACTGCTTGCAGGAGACTGACTTTGGCGGGAACAACGGACCGGAAGTGCTGGTTGCTATGGAGAGGACAAACAGCTTGCACGACAAAGGTAAGTAGGGGGTAGGGTTTATATAGGATCATAACTCCTCCCACAAATTCAGGCCAAATGGCCTTCCAACATATATAAATATATAATTAATAAAAATAAAAATAAATATATACATATATATATATATATATATATATATATATATAGTTAATACATTGCTATGCACAAATACACACACCAGTCAAGCCATAAGACTTGCTTTTCCCACAGAATATATATATATTTAAATTCTACGTATATATTTATGTCATATTTATACGTAATTTGTAATTTTATTAATTACTATTTGAGGGACTTGACAACCCAGGCAGAAGGTCCAGAAAATTTAGCTTGCAAGCCCAAGCCTTATATTTAATCCTTTAACTTTATATAGGGGTACTGTTATACTCGGGATACTTAGTTGAACACAAATACTAGTGTTTCAAACAGTAAAATGTATCAACAATGATATCGTCAGTGAAAATGCTCTTTTTGTAGTTTTCACACATAAACAGCACTTTCACTGACGATGTCATTTGTTGTGATATGTTTTACTGTTTTGAAACACTAATATTTGGGTTCAGCAAAGTCTCCCAAGTATGACAGTACCACCATGTACAGATTTTATGGTGTTTTGGAAAGTTGCAGGGTCAAATATAAGGCTTGCATTTCAGTTTTTTTTTCACATTGAAATTTGCCTGATTGGTTATGTTGCCTTTGAGACCGTATGGTAGCCCAGGAATAAGAATTACCCCATGATGGCATACCATTTACAAAAGTAGACAACCCAAGCTATTGCATATGGGGTATGTCCAGTCTTTTTTAGTAGCCACT